AGCGGATCGAGCTCTTCGTCACGCATTCAACGCACCCGGAATCACTCAAATCCGAGTTCGTACGAAGGATCTATGGGGAAAACAATCGAATACACCTATGGACGCCTCGGGAAGTCGAAACACCCCGGGGGTGTCTAGGAAAAGCCTAGACACCCCAGGGGTGTCTCGGCCAAACCGAGACACCCTAGGGTGTCTAGGCCCCCTAGAGCCCCTCATTTTCCTATAAATAGCACCCCTTACCTTTGTTTTGGAAGAGGATTTTTGGAGAAGATTGGCGAAGCCCTGCTGCAGTGAAGAGTGGTCGAGCGCTTCAACAAGGAGAGGAGAGGTCTTCATCAGAGCCTTCATCACCCGTTCCCCCTTTTCCTTAGTATTACCCTTCGCCGGTAATCACTAAGAAGAGCTGATATCTCGTTTTAGCCGAGATAGACGCTTCAGGCTTCTAGATCTCACGCGGATCGACGAAGCTCTGTCCGATTCTTTTGGAACAGATCTGAGTGCCAGGTGGTCCATGGATATTAACGTCCCCGTCACAGGCAAAAGATCCACGCAAGCAGAAGACCGATAAACGATCTCTGCGTTTGTTTGGACGGGAGTTGTAACTTTTTTTTTGTTTTCATTGTGTAAGAGTCTTATAAAAAGGCCATCTTTTTGTTTCATTGTAACGACTGAAGTTGTAATGAATACGGCAATGAATACAACAACTTTCTCCGCAAACACTAATCACCCCCCCTCTAGGGTCCAACATCCTCGACATATGCCAAAAATGACTCAGTATTCTGGTTACCCTATGAGGTTGTTACTATCTATTCGAACCCATCGAATACTCACAAGCTGACTGTCTTCACAAAATAGTCGATACTAACATGATAGGAAGATAACTAATACATAACAAGATTCACTTCAAGCTCAGATATACGCAAAATGAACATATTGATTGTGAACGTAGACTCATCTAAGCTGATAATGCATCTCTACAAATACTATTTAAGAGGGATGCCTCTCCCAAAGGAGTAGAAACTGACAAAAGAATGTCTAGGGAATGTGTAACTAATTGAAGACTATCCATGATAGCATAAATGGATAAAAAGGAATGTGAATCTCCTATACTAAAAAGATACGAGTTGGGAAGGAGTTCACCAAGAACGTATCTTCCACTATGGTTCTATTCGCATCATGATCACTTGGTACATTGCAAAAACTTGACCGAACGCTGTGGTCTATTGCGCTAAAACCTCTGTAGTATATGAAACTATCTGACTCTAAGGTAACTCTTGAATAGCATGCATCTGATCCTCAATCCTTGAAGTAAATGGTGGTGACTCAAATTTCTACTTTTGGCCATACCCGCGGCCCTACGGCTGCTGACTTTGGCCTCTACCCTCCTGGCCTCCTACTGGTGCCTTGCGACAATCTCTCGTCCTATGTCCAATCTTGTTATAGTTATAACACGCACCATGAATCTTGTACTGTTTCTGCACTCTCTATCCTGCTGCAATTGCTGACCCTTGCTCTGCTGACTTCTTATTAATATACCATGACACTGTGTGGTCTATGACCGAATTTGTTGTAGTGAAAACATGCACCTACAAATTTGTGCTTATTTGAAGCTGTTTGATTCTATTGTCCCTTCGGACTGGCACTATGCTATTTTTACTAATCATTTAGCTGAGGTCTACTCTACTATTGAGATCCTCCAGGTCCTGTGAATATTCTCTTGTTCTTGCCCTTATCTTCAGACTGTCCTGTCTTAGGGCTTCCTTCTTGCCTGGTGGTGTAGGCATATAAAACTGCTTATAGGTCCCTTAGCACAGCTCGGCACAAACCGACGAACCAACGAGGCGACGAGATCGACAAATTGCACACGAACAACGGAATGAATCCATACACGTTCGGAATCAAGCCAAGTGTTAAAGAATCAACGAGTCATCCAACCGGGAACAGACTCGGACGAATCACGATCGAATCAAGATCAGTTTCGGACTCGAACTCCGAAGTGGATTTACTGCCAAATCAGGAATCAGACTTACTGCCAAATTAGATCAACAAATCAGAGTCTCAATCAACCAAATCACGGACAAAACCGGAAAACGGACACAACACAAAACAACGGAAAACAGCAAACCCAGAGGGGCTCGGCCAAACCGAGCCGCCTCAAGGTGGCTCGGCCAAAGCCGAGCCACCCTGAGGTGGCTCGGTGGCCGAGCCACGAGGTGGCCGACGTTTTCCTGTGCGCGGGCACAGTCCAGAGAGCCTATAAATAGGCTAGGCATTGTTCATTTTCAAAGGTGGAACTTTCAAGAGCCGAAACTCTGCCGGATTGAAGAGCGAACTCGGAGCTTTGAAGACTTGAAGACTTGCATATTCGGATCTGATCCTCGGCGAGCATCCACATCAGAAAAGGCAGGATTTCGAGAGGAAGAAAGAACAGATCTAAGATCTACACTAGATCACACTCCAGATCTAAGCTTGGTCTTAGATCTCGAGATCCGAGCGATTATTCCCTTGGTGGACTAATCCCTCCCGGCTATTATTCCCTTCGTGGAATAATACCCGTATAATCGTGTAGATCCGACCGGATCTAGATCGCGCGGTGGTCCACGGATTAACCCCGGCGCAGGCAAAGAACCCACCAAAGCGAGCGACCGCAAAACAGGAGCTCGCGATTTGTTCACAAAAGGAAAGTTGTAATTTTTCTTATTTTTCCTTGATTTAATTGTAACCGGATCTAAAAAAAGACCGGATCTTTTGTAACCAAGAGTCACGCGCCTTGAGACCTGCCTTTTTGGGCGTGAATTCTCAGCGGGCTCCTGAACTTCAATGCGCAGCATAGTGCGCTTGGGTGCCATGATTTCTTTGTCATGTTGAGGGTTGCGGCGACCCCCAGCATGTTGCGTCGTTTGGGGATTTCTTAGTGGGCCCAAACGTTCTTAGATTGGAGTTTTGCTTCGCTCCTCGGGAAGTGGACCGAGGCGCTCCAAGACTGACTTACTTTTCTGGGATGGTCCTGCGGGATCTCCCGGAGCAGTTGTGGGAATCATCGGCGGTCTGGATTGATTCGCCGGAGGTTGAACTGTCAGGGGCTGCAGTTGCTGCTTTTTGGTCTGAACCGCCGCTTAAGACTTCGGCCTCCAAACTTTGCGAGTTGGTGGCGGCTTCTTGGCTACCTCTTTCTGCAGCTTTCTACGGGCTTCTTCAGCTTGAGCCCGTGCCTGCGCTGATAGTGCGCGGCGCTTGCGAATGCGCTCCTCCAGCGTTGATCGGTTCCGTTTGACACGGACCCATTCCATTGTTGGCGGCTTGGAAGAACCACCATTCATTGATTGTTGAGGCTTTTTGTCTCTCTTGTTCTTCATATCCGCGTTGTAGCGGATCCCGTCAACAGACTCCATGGCCTTTGCGAATTGTTTCGCAAGGCGTCACTGTGGTCGCCAGATTGTTCGCGGGGAAAATCGTTGTTTTCTTCATCATTGATTCCATTGCAAATTCTTGTAATAGTTTATCGATTACAAAGATCCGGTCTTTTTTTGATCCGGTTACAATGAAAATCAAATAACACAAGAAATAAAGAAAATTACAACTTTCTCCTTTAGAACAAATCGCGAGCTCCTGTTTTGCGGTCGCTCGCTTGTGTGGGTTCTTTGCCTGCGCCGGGGTTTATCCGTGGACCACCGCGAGATCTAGATCCGATCAGATCTAAGCAGTACGACGGGTATTATTCCACGAAGGAAATAATAGCCGCGGAGGATTGATTCACCAAGGAAACAATCGTCCAAGTCTCGGGATCTAAGACCAAGCTTAGATCCGGAGTACGTCTGCGTAGATCTGAGATCCGGTCCTCTCGAACACATGCCTTATTTGGCGTTGACGGTCGCCGAGCACCAGATCTGAATGAGCAAGTCCTTGAAGTCCCAAAGTTGAGATCTTTTTTAGATCTGAGTCTCCAATCCAGCAAGGCTTCGCCTCTCTCCAAATTTTCCAACCTTTGAAAATGAACAACCCTTAGCCTATTTATAGGCTCTCTTTACTGTGCCCACGCACGGAACAGTGTCGGCCACCTATGGGGGGCCGGCACTGGGCCGAGCCTCCCTTAGACGGTTGTTTTCCGTCGTTTTTCCGTTGTGTCCGCCTCTCGGTTCTATCCGTGATTCGGTTGAATTAGACTCTGGTTGATTTATCCAGACTTGACTCGTTAACCTGATTTGGCAATAAGTCGGATTCCTGATTTGGCAGTAACTCCACTTCTGAGTTCGAGTCCGAAACCGATCTTGATTTGGTCGTTATTCATCCGAGACCGCTCTTGTTTGAATGACTCGTTGATTCCCAGAACCGTTGGCTTGATTCAGCACGAGAATGGATGCATTCCGTTGCTCGCGTGCGATTCGTTGACCTTGTCGCCTCGTCACTCGATGGTTTGTCGAATCATCGTGCCGAGCTATGCCAAGGGACTTATAAGCAATTTTACATGCCTACAACCCTCAAACAATCTCTCAAATCCCTCACACAAATATCTCTTTCAAAAAAAGGACAGACGACTCTTTTGCACGAACTGTAGCCTCAAAACAATTGCCAACCTCCTGCGCGTGCACCTCAGCAACCAAGCCTCCTTTTTCACCTTGCAGCTGCCAAGTCTTCTTCCTCCAAAGCCTGATCTTGCACTTGCACAACCCTCAAAGCCTGATCCCCTTTTTCACGCCGCCAAAGTTTTTTCTCTTCTGCGTGTTTTATTTTCCAAGCCTTAACCTAGGAAGTGATTGAACAGCTATATATAGTTGCGGAATTCGTTCGGGTGAAAACCGAAAAACCGCACATGATCTTATCTTCTTTTTTTTCATGTCACATCCTTTCAAATTGCACCGCTTCAATGTAATCTCTTCACACGCCTACAAGCCTTAGCCTCAGCTCGTGGTCCCCACTCACATCACATCCACAGTATATATATATATATCAATTTTTTTCTAAGTTAACAAATCTAAAACAAGCAAATACACATTGCAGACCTCAGGTTCTGAGCCTTCGTCTTCTGTATCCAATATTTCATAGCAAGTCAGGCTAAATCTGGATGATCCCTCGTTCCCACTCTCATCGCCCCTGCATCAATCACCAAAGAAGTTATCAACAAATAAAAGTAAGAGTCAAAATATCATCAAAGCCACCAACGACACAACCGAAAACCTTACCTCTGAGATCCATTCTCGTTGGGAGACCCCGAGTTAAGCTTACCCCCATCAACCGACTGTGCTTTTGGGTACCCTGCAGCCTGCACAACTTCCCGTCTTTAAACAAATCAGGGTAAAATCCTCAAGAAATCGAAAACTAAAACAGCAATAATTGACATCAAAAAGAGTTCTCTAACAATCAAGAACCCCCTTCACCCGAGAAATCCCTCTGTCTGTTAATTTCAACAAGAACCCCCTCGTCTATTCATATTTTACATTTGCGACGCAATATAACTCTAAATTACTTGTAGTTCACCCCAAAAAGGAAATTATTGCGATTTTGGGCAAGAAAACGGCGGGAATTGAGAGAAAAGGGTACACTCTTCGAACCTGAGATCCTGGAGGTTGGTCAGAGGTTAAGGGAGCTTCCGGAGGCGCCTCCGGTGCCGACGCCTGCGGTGGAGGGATCTCCGGCGGCGTCGCCTCCGGTGGAGTGATCTCCGGTGACGGCGCCAATATCATCGATGCCGGAGGAGATTTGGCGGGAGGCGTGGTCTCCTCCGAGGACACCATTTGCTGAGCTCACGAAATTAGGGTTTCGATCGAGGAAAGAATGGGGAGAATTTGGGAAAGGAAATGGGCGGGAAAGATTTGAGTGAGAGAGAGTTTAGAAATGAAAAAAAGGTGATAAGTTTTTTTTTTTTTTTTTTTT